CCCCCCCCCCCCGCCCCGCACTAAAATTTACCAAAATGTTTCAAAGAAACACTATGCAACGGGAAAGGTATTCAAAGGTAAAACACATCTAAAAGACCTCATTCCCCAGGATACTTTCAGAGCTTTCATAGAATCATAGAATGGCTTGAGTTGGAAGGGACCTTGAAGATGATGTAGTTCCAAACTCCAGTCATGGGCAGGGACACCTCATATGAGACCAAGTTGCTCAAAGCCCCAACCAGCCTGGACTTGAACACTTCCAGGGATGAGGCATCCACAACTTCCTGGGCAACCTGTGCCAGTGTCTCACCCTCATAGTGTAGAACTTCTTCCTAATGTCTACTCTAGATCTACCCTGCTGTAGTTTAAAACCATTGCCCCTCATCCTAGTGCTACACACCCTTGTAATTAGTCACTCCTCAGCTTTCCTGTAGCCCCTTCAGGTACTGGGAGGCTGCTGTAATGTCTCCCTGGGGCCTTCTCTTCTCCAGGCTGAACAACCCCAGCTCTCAGCCTATCCTCATAGGAGAGGTGCTCCAGCCCTTGGATAATTTTTTTTTGGCCCTCCTCCAACTGATCCATGTCCTTCTTGTGCTGAGGGCTCCAGAGCTGGACACAGCACTGCGGATGGGGTCTCACCAGAGCAGGGTAGAGGGGCAGAATGACCTCCCTTGACCTGCTGGCCATGCTGCTTTTGATTCAGCCCAAGATCTTTCAGTTCCCTGTATGCTGGTTGTTCATGTCTTCTGTTCCAGATCTGTCAGATCGACCCTCTGTTGACCAAGTGAAATTAAATCCCACAGGCTGTAGTTAGTAAGGATAAAGTGCTGGGTTGAGTATTCAGGTAGATGGCTGTATTGGGGCACTGAACTTCCAGAGAAGGTCCAAGTTTCTTCAAAGTACAATAATGCACCAACAAGCTGCATTTAGCTTGGAAACAAAAATAACACTCTCTAAGCTCTGGGAGACTGAAGAATTATGAAATAAAAATTGGTAGACCGTGTTCAGAATGCAAAATACATACTTAAGTTTTGTTATATAAAGATGTAGAAATACCTTAGAAAATGTGCTGTTAGATAACAGTGAATAAAAACCATTTTATGTCCCCATAGCCAAAAAAAAAAAGCTATTCCGTAGATGTGATTTTAGTCTAGTCTATTTTAGGCACTGTAAAATTGCCATATCTAAAGGGTAAATAATCAAAATGGCATCTTAGAAGCTGTTATTGGGAGTTGTAAAGTCCAACTCCAGAAGTACCTGGGACACAGTTCAGGAGTCACAGAAAGTGATGGAAGGATGCTTACTGGTTATAGTTGTCTCTTATCACATCAAAATCTTGTTTACTTGCAGTAGAGATCAGAAAATCACCTACAACTTTGTTGGAAAAAAAATGAAACTTGGATATAGTTTCACTAACTGTCTTTGCCTAAGGTGGTGTCTTGGTTAGAGCTAAACAGCCTTAATCCTGGACAGGTGATTTGTGTTTTCAATACCAATTAATTGTTATTTAAAAAATAGCTACTAGTGAAGGTAGCGGAAGGAAATGATAATGTGCTAATGCCTATGAACAAAGAACACTTATTCAGGAAAAAAATGAAATAAAAATCAATCTTACTAAAAGAAGTATCTTCAAAACTGAAAAAGCATATGTAAACAGAACAGTATTTCTTTTACTGTATGTTGCAGGTATGCACCAGAGTCTCTGACAGAAAGTAAATTTTCTGTGGCCTCAGATGTGTGGAGCTTTGGTGTGGTCTTGTATGAGCTCTTCACGTACATTGACAAGAGCAAAAGCCCACCAGCTGTAAGTACACAGTTAATGGTTTTCAGAGGTTTCTTTGCTTGTTTATTGAAATCATTGTTCCAATACCTAAATAGGTTTATATTTATTGATTCTTTCCTGGAGGTACCTTACTGTTTAGGAGGCAGCATCCGATCAAAAGGAGCAACATGCTGAAAACTTGTCAGTATCAAAGCTGTAAGAAGAAAATACCTGATAGTCTGTGCAGACTGTATCCATCCTGTAACTCCTACCTGTTAGAAAAACATTTTAAATAGATTGTTCTTTCTTGTTTCTTTCATGGAGAGTAATCCCAGATGCAAGGGTTTCATTGCAACATGACATGTATTTTTAATGCTTTTCCAAATCTAAGACTGAGCCAAATATGTAAACATAAAGTTGATTTAAATAAGGTAACCGTGTTATTTTGCTGTGTTGTCAGAAACCAAGTAAGCATAAGTTATTGGAGTTCAGGAAAGAAAGGAAGTGGCTTTTCGGAGATTGTTGACAGGCACCTTTAAAGGTGGATGGAGAAAAATACTACTTGTACTGTCAATAACAGTTCTCCAACTGGAAATGAAGCTCACTATTTTTCTTACGCCTAGCAGTCCTCTGCAGGCGTAACAGAGCAAAATTGAGCCTTACACATTTATTGGAGCTGTCCTCACCTTTGGTCAGTGTTTCAGCCCTGGCAAATGTAGTTTGGGGCGCTGAGGAATGGTGATAGGCAAAATGCACTTCAAAAATCTCTGCATTGGCCTCGGTAGACCTCTTAGTAATTGGATGCCATGACTAAGCTATCAAGGAAGAGCGCTTGAGGCAGAGGCACCTCTTCCTGCATAATAGCATAAACATTGCAGACACCTGGAGTTCTCCAGAAGGATTTTGAAATGGAAAGAGGTAGAATTAGGTTGTGGACTTAGGTGGAATATACTCTGAATAAATCAACTCTCCATGTGCCTTTGCCATTTGGTTGGTTATTCTATTGGTATATATCAAGAAAACTTAATTTTCCCAATTAGGCAAAGTGGTCTGTTTAACTGTCATTGTGTTTGTAATTGTACAGTTCCTCAACTTTGGCCGTTCACGCATTCTACCAACAGTTGTATCACATGTTCAATAATCATTAAAGAAATCTGTGTCGCGTTGGAAGAAAAATAATTTTTGTTGTGCTTAGAAATTGCTTTCAGTTAATAGCACTTCCTCATTTACTGTTGATCTCTGGAAGTCTGAGGGAGATTTTTATCTGCTTTTTGGGTTATGTTAATTTTTGGATAACAAGATTTATCTAAGCCATTTTTACTGGCTTTAATTATGGTATTGCTTCTGGCCTGTAGTTAACAATTAATCCTTTTAATTTATTTTTTTATATATCAGCATGATATTATCTGTCTTCTGTTGGGCTGTGATTTTTCAAAGCATTAAGATCTTGTTTTAATGTTTCAGGAAGCGCTGGAATTAGCTGTGAGATTTATCCTTTTAAAACTAGTTACTCATCAGATGATAATCAACACTTTAAAAAAATTTTTCACTCATTGCTTTAAATTGTGTATGTATCATCCTATTTTTATCCACACCAAAAATCTATAATGATTTTAATATTCTCTAGACCTGTAATATATAATTTTATCAGATATATACTATTCTGTTTATTCTTGTTATTACTTATTCTTCTTATACATAATTTTCCCTTGGCAAGAACATTGCAGCATCTTTTTTTCCTTTAAAAATTATTTATGACAATCGGCCTTCTGTTGCAGGAATTCATGCGCATGATTGGCAATGACAAACAAGGGCAGATGATTGTATTTCATTTGATAGAGCTTTTGAAGAATAATGGACGACTACCAAGACCAGATGGATGCCCTGATGAGGTGAAGTATTGTACTAATATGTTAGTGTTATCAGAAAGGTGCTTAGTCAGGGTGAGTACCAGGTAAATACAAACCTTGTGTTTAATTCAACTTGAATTACCAAAGTGTTTATACAGGCATAAAGGCTGTACTGTTGTTTTAGCAGTTGCATGATGAGTCTAATTGTATTTCTTTTCTGATTCTTTAGGTTGCATTCCCTCATGAGCTACTACTAGAATGTAGTCTTTCTAAATCATAGAATCATAGAATTGTCAGGGCTGGAAGGGACCTTAAAGATGAAATGTTTCAAAAATATGACTTTATTAAGGCAATGACATTCGTATATGGAACTTGTTCCATTGAAGTCCCGCATAGAGATTCTTGTTCAAAGCTGTGAACTGTGGGTTCTTTTAAAGTCTAACATTTAGCAGAAGTGTCTTAATATCTCTAACACTTTTCAGTTTAATTCCAGGATTTAGTAAACTCCTTATCTTAATTATTTTCCTTCTCTTGCTCTTCCTTCCTCAAGCACAGGAGTACCCATGTTTATCATGTATATTGTTCACTCTAAAGCTACCTGCGGGCAGTAGCCACAGTTAAATACATGAATCAGATTTTGTAGGTTCAGGGCTTTCAGATTTGTATTCATATTCTTTGTAGATGCTGAAGTGTATATGTACATAAAGCCATCTTCAGAGTACACAAATTAGCTCATTTTTCTTTTGGTTTTCCTAATTCTCCATATGTTTTTAAAAAATACTTTTATACTACTTCTAAGTCTTGTAGCGCTCTGTTGTTCAGAGCAGGGTGCTCTTCAGCCTGAATCTGACTGGTAGGTCTGGGTAGATGGAATAGTAGTGTAAGTAAAATAGTTATGCTTTTTAACACATCTAATTTCAGCTCAGATCGATTGCTGCGTCCCTTTAAAATCAAGCAGGCTTGGCAGTAAGTCGAGAAATAATCATTCAGAACTGGAGACAGAAGAGATCAGGGTCAAGTGGTGTAGCAGAGGAGGGTTAAAAATGGTACAGGTGGGGCAGGGAAGCAGTGGGGAAGAAATAGTCTATGGACAATCAAGAGAAGTCTCTGAAGTTGTCTTTCTTGCATTTTATGTATGAGTATGGCACTTCTGAATTGCAAAGGTTTGCCTTTTATAGATAACCTGAATGTCACATGTGTTAAGATAATACATAATCTGTTTTCTGAAACTATCCAAACTATTGCAAAGGTTTCAATGCCTGACATTTCTTTGAATATCAAAGCAAGATGGAAATGTCTCTCTTTTGTCAGAAACTGCCTGCCCCATTTTGATTCTGAAAGGCCAGTTATCACAAATATTAAATCTTCCAGATATCTGTAGCTTACAAGCTGCTCGAGTCTTGGGTCTAAAGCAGCTTGATCAATGCTAGAGTTTCAGATATGCTGAAAAGTAAGGAACTGATGCTACTTTTTCTTTCCCTGGGAGCTGTGCAGATTATTCTTAAGCAATATGCAAAAAAATCTTTGGAAGTATGAGAAACTGATAATAATGATCTGTGTTAAATTAGCAAGAAGAGTAGAGGTGGAGAGCTTGGCAAGTTGTTTTGTGACCAGGTGTCGGGTATGTGTTTTGGAAAAAACTTGTTACCTATTTTTATGGAAACCTCTACCAAAAATGATTTAAATCTTCTACTGGGAGTGGGTTTGGTTTGCACAGTAACTTTTCTGGCTTATTTTTTGATTATATGTGAAGAATAATTAAGAATGTGGTATACAGACGTGGAGAAGTGTAAATGTTGCAGGGGAGGCTTAATTTAGAATTGCTCTTTGTAAGTCTGATTTTTGGTCAGATTTGTAAAGCATTTGTAATTCTAAACACTTTTTAATTTTTCAAAAAGTAAGAGCAAGCAAGAACATAAAAAATTAGCAAAATAATCTAAGTCTCTTAGAGGTTTCAAAAAGTAGCTGAGTGAATTTCCCTAATAACTCTAAAAAAACAGATCTCCTTTTATAATTTGGGCTTCTGCAGAGCTAGCTGTCCTCGCTTCTTGCTGTCGTTGGGTTCAAGCAGATAAAGTGCTATAGCAAAACTTGGGGCACATTATTGTGCCGCACTGTTGCTGGGAAGCGTAAGTTAAGTTGCACACTTTTTTGACCAGTTCATGTTAATTGTTTCTAGCATCTGCTTACCTACTACAGATTTTCTTTGTTTCTTCTCCAGATTTATACTATCATGAGAGAATGCTGGAACAATAATGTTACTCAGCGCCCCACCTTTAAGGATCTTGCTCAGCGAGTGGATCATATAAGGGACAACATGGGTGGATGAGAAAACTCCCTCCTTCTGAGGATGTGTTGGAATCCAGAAAAAATGTCCTTGGTCTGCTGTGTTTAATTGACATACGTACGCATGTGCATCTTACCTTTGCTGGAAGTAAAATCTGTGTGGCAAATATTCTATCTCAACCTGCATACAGAGGACTCCTGATGGTTTTCTTTATCAGGATCTGTTTGTTACTATGAGAATGTGCTGAAATTACCAAAAGGGAGAGAAATTATTTTCCTAAATAAAGTAATCTAATATATGGTCAGTCTACAACACCATTATTTGCCTTACTTGGCAATGCAAAAAAGAGGTGACTTAAAATGTAGTGAGATCAAGAGATGTAAAGACTGTATTTCCTTGTTGACATGGAGGTGCACAGAAAAGGCTTCTACAAGTCTTTTCACATTGAGTACATGGTGACTTGGCACCCTGTTTTGTGTGTTGCACAAGGGCTTGTGTGTGTTAATACAGTTTTACAATTTTTTCATTGTTGATGCAGAAATGTCTTCTCTGTATAATGAAATAGAAGTGGTTATGTAACCCAGAAACTTCTAATGTGCCTGACTGAATCAGTTACCAGCCAGCAATATATGCAAAGAGAAATATAATAGGCTGTGTGATGTACTGTA